GATTGCTTTTCTTATTTTTGATGTTCTTATGTTTACCTTTTTGTCTAGGCACCGAATTCGGATCCTGCTTATGCCACGCCTCTTGAAAATGCACATGATGCTGCTGATGACATCGACTCCACCAGAGCATACACTTCGTTTTGTTCCAGCTACCCTGCGACCTCGGTGGCCATCTATCAGATAGCTCCTGCAACGTTCATACCTCTCAGCGGTACTAATCTCAGTTTTTATGGTGGCCAGCACGGACAGGCGGGGTTCAACAGTGAAAATGCCACGGCAGCCAAAATGGAACCTGAAGAAATGGTCGTCGACGATGCAGCATCTTTGGTCGTTACACCGCCCACTGACCCTAAGGAAATGCGCAAGACAATCAGGCAGAAAATGCATCGATGTCCTATATGCAAAAATCGGTTTATTGAAAAGGACATATACGAAAGGCATTTGCGTGACCGTCACCCGTCGCGTTTCGATGTATACATGGAACAACAGGCGAAGGTTATGGAGGAGCAGAGATTGGCGGAGTTGGAGCAGATGAGACGAGAGGAAATAAAGACTGGCGGTTTCATATTGCCTGCGAGGTAAGTTGTCGTTTTCTTCTTGTCTGTGAGGAATCTCATTTGATTGGCAATGCAGGGAAGTCGAAGAAGCGGAAGCACTTGCCGATCCGGCAGAGATCAAATTGCCCGACGAGGAAGACATTGGCGGCTACTACACGGTATACGACGACTACGGGATGCCTTTGCGAAAGCGACGACCGTACCGAAAGAAAATCAGTCCCCAGTGCCCATTCTGCGATAAACGTTTTCGGAATGACAACTCGCTGAAGAAGCATATAGTAAAGAAGCATCCAGAGATGGTCGGTTTTGTGCAGTGCAACAAGTGTTTCAAAGCAGTTAAGAACTACAGCGAGTTGCCGAATCATCAGTGCTGTATGGCACACGTATGCTGGCAGTGCACGCCGATCAGGAACATGATTACAGCTGAGCGGTTGGACAACCATCGCCGCAAGTTCCACCGCGGAGCGCAAAGCGGTTTTAAGTGTAACGAATGCTCAAGGAAATTTTTGACTCCCCGCAAGCTGCGCAAGCACAAGAAGATGGCACACATCATCCGCAAACCGTTCAAGTGCCAGTTTTGCGACGATTACTTCCCGACAGATACCCAGGTGACGATTGTAACTACGTTGTTGTTTTAACCGACCCCAAAATGACCGTTTCACATGAAGACCCTATAAATCTCTTTTCTATAGGCTGCCTTGCATGAGCGTATCCATACTGGCAAAGTGAAGTTTGAGTGTAACATCTGCGATTATCGGGCGAACAGATTCATCCGACTGACCGACCACAAACGACGCGAGCACGGCTATGTGTGCGTGATTTGCGGAGAGAAAACCGTCGAATGGTCGGAGCTGAAGTACCACACGCTGGAGGTGCATGCCGGCTATCTGTCCTCCGAAAGTCAAGCAGGTAAAATGCGACAGAAATAGTGATAAGCGTCTCGAAAAGCTGTTTACAACATTGTGACCCCCCCCCACACCGCCACGTTCTTTCGTAGCACATATTAGGTCAAAGATTGCAAAAATGATCATTTATGGCGTGCCAGTGATCATATTACAAATGGTTTGTTTTTGCCCCTCCTGTGGTAGCTAACTTTCTGTATTAACTCATAATATCCATGGCGCAGCCGTGTTTGTATTTCTTACAATTTCTGATATCGTCCATCAAATATTACCAGACTTTTCGCCCTTCTCGTGCTCATGATTCTTCATCTTCTGTTCTAAGTTTCGACGAAATAGTGGAAAGCCTTTACCATAATTTCACTAGGGATTATACCGATGTAGCTCCCATATGTGAATCTGACGTTCTGGCACTTACTGGGGGCCAGTACCTGCGTGCAGTCCAGTTGTTGTGAGGCTCAATTGGTATGATCTCTAGAAGTCTGATTCCTAATTGACTTAACCCCTCTTATCGTATATCAACGAGAACCTATGTGAAACTAGTAAATTTGCCAGTTTTAAATTCTGTTTTATGGTTACGTTCTAATGACAGCGAGAGGTTACTAAGTCATCTCGCAGTTTTGTGCATTGAAACTATATCATTAACAAGTATCTATCTCTGCATTCAGTCTAATTTGTTTTGTTATGTTACGTAATAGCCAGAAGATCTCGTGCGTTACAAAATTTTGTCTATTTCGGAGATGAGCATATCATTATTTGCTTTCGTTGTGGTTCTCCTAGATGTTTCGAACATAACTCTGTATTGGTCCTCTGAATTTCAGACCAAATGATTGATATCCGGCGATGTTTACACGGGAACTGTATTCTGTTTACAACGGGGATCAACATGTATAATCGCTCTAATGGCTATGGTATAACAGTTATTCAGAGAATGTAATGCTGTTGATTGATATTAAGCTGTATAAAACCGTCAAAGAATATAAAGCTCTCCGCATGGTATAGAAACTGTTTCACGTAATTCATAAAATTCAGAAAGTCCGAGAAATTTCTCGTGATTGACCTGTTTCTGACCATCAGTCAACATTCAAGTTAAGGAGAATCATTAAGAGTAGTTATGACGAATAACTACTGTAAATGGCTATCGTAATTGAGATGTAGCGTGTTTTCTTGGTTTAGCACATGTATGGTTGAGAAAGTTAGATGAAAAGATGAATGGTATACCGTAATAGCATGATGTTTTTTGATAAACCATTTAATCAAATGTTTTGCAGAAAGCCTTCGAAATCCTACACTCGTGATCTTTTATTAATGTAAAAAATCTGGCTTTCTCTCGTCAGCATATCGATTATGATTGCGCCGAAAATAAAGGATATCTAAGGGTTTTGAAAGTTTCACATTAATTAAGCGTTTAATTTTCGGCCATTTTATCGTTTAGGATGCTAGGAATTTCGTGTAAGTTTCAGAACTAATGCAGTACTTCTCTTCATTTAAGCTAGTATTTCTTTAATTAAAGTAATTGTTGGGGATAAGCAAGCTGATGTTTCTTTTGGTTAATTGATTTTACATGATAATGTAATATATTCTTTATAAATTGGCATTGCTTAAGCCACCCGCCTTTTTAGATGATATTTTGAACCCTTGAGATCACTAGATGAGCTTTCAAATAGAATCCAAGAGCTGAGCGAATTAAGCATAAAATCTTTACTAAAACTTGACCTGAACAAGGCAAAGTTATGTTTGACAAATAGGTGGCCACGCAACCGGTTTCAATCAGTGGAGTTAGTCCTGAATAAGTGGAAAACTACACTGCTACAGTTCGTCTGTGCAACTGATAACCGACTATACGAAAGCCCTTTTGAATGATTGAAATTGTTCTTACTCGAGATACTGTCCATATGCTTGAAACTACCCAGCGTTTGCTTGCAGTGCTATAGCCTAAGCCTGAAACCTACTCTTAAACTGCATAGTATGCAACACAGAATGGAATAGTGTATGTTGGGACAGACGAGAATGTGTACAAATACTAATGAATATGTAACAGCACAAAGAGGAGTCTACGATGTTATTGTAAGAGTGCAGAAGTTGAACCTGAGAACAGATTGAAGGACTGTCGCTGGACAACCACCAGAGACAGTAGACTAAATTCTAAGAGCGAATAAACTGTTATAAGAAGATCTTCAATATAAATTATTAAAATTGACGATTTATCAAAAATTTTTTATGCTGATATCGTTCCATTAATACTCATCATCTGAAAATATGTCATAAGTGATCTGCGACATCTGTGTAGATTCAGACTCACCACCATAGGACCGTGCTCCCACACCGTGCGTAGTTCCACGCCGAAACTTTATAAACCGCCTCGAAGTGCTTCCGTAATGGAATGCGAGTTGAACAACGCAAATTTCGGTGTCACATTTAATGTTTTTATAGTTTATGCATTTTTATACTTCGAGCTTACTTTAAAACTTGATTTTAGTATGCATCGAGAGCCCTCGTGTATGGATATTGTACAAAGGCGAATAGTTGGGTCGTCAATTGGTCATTTGTCCTGAAGGACATTGAAGAAAGGAGCACCGAGTAATTCACGATGATCAGTTTTACTTGTCGAAACATTTGTGGCTTATTTCTGATTATCACTTGATACTTCAAAGTTTATTTTGTATAGTTTACATGGCCTTTGTTTGCTGTATTTTGTTGCCTGGCGGTAGTTTTTCATGTTTTTCCTTCAGATCAGTTTCTGTGTTGACTACTTTAATTTTCTGAATAA